TCAATCACACATTGAAGAAATTAGGTCATTTGTGCTGTTTCCCAGTCAGGTTTTGCTGGTGGTGTCCCTGTGGTATAACACCACACACACACACTGCCCCTCCCCCTACCTCCCTGATTTCTCATAAAGTAGATTTTGAGGCCCAACCAAGCACACGCCCCTCCGGAAAGCACATGTGCCCTCCTCGGGGGCTAGCCACTGAAGATTGCTGTTGGAACCCACCATTTCATTAGGTGTCTGAAAACTTATAAACTCGTAATTCCATCACTTCATTTTAATTAGCCAGAATATGTCAATAGCTGCGCTGTGCATTAGCCACATGTGGCTATTTAAATAGATTAAAATTAAATAAAATTAAAACTTGACTTCCTTAGTCAAACTATCCCAGGTGCCACATTGGACTGTGGGTTCAGAACATTCCAGAAAGTTCTGCAGGGCAACGCTGATCCATCTCTGAGGGGAACTTCCCCTCACCCACTATTTTGTTCTTTGTGAGTTCTGTCCATAAAGAGGTAATAGATACTTGCTTCTTTCCCTCTACCAATTTTCAAAACGAGTTGGTTCCCTAACACCCTTCAAAGAGACCAGTCTTTCCTTTTCTTCGAGCACTAGCATGAACCTGTGGATTTTTAACACATTTGATACTCCAACTCAGGGACTCCTGTTCTCCCTCACACTCACCTGTCCCACCCATGGCCAGGGGAACACCTGGGGGTCTTTCTGGCACAATCCCAGTACCATCTGAGATATTCCAATGCAGACTCAGAATTAAAACATTTTAACTTAAATGCTTTGATTTTATATTTATACTTTTCCTTGATGCTGAAAATGCTGGTTCTTAAAGACATTAATTACTGTTTTGTTTTTTTCTAAAATATATAATAGTAAGATTACTGGTATTGTTAACCTAAAACTAAAAATATGATTGTTAAAAACAGTTAAAGATTTAAAATTATTTTAAATTAAAAACAGTTAAAGATTTAAAATTTACGCTCAAACTATTATGTTTTATAGCTGCGTGAAATAAATCTTGTCTGAGAGGTTAAGTGACCAATCTGAGTCACAACTGACATTCACCTACATTCATTTATTTCATTTTGCTTTGGTTGTTCAGGATTGCCAACCCCCATCTGACATACTTTTATTTTATAATTATGTAAAACACACACCTGGTGCTACATGGAAAGGAAACTTGGATAAGTCTTTGGTAACTCTGTCCCCTCTCATTCCTCCTCCCAGAAGTGACCATATGGTTCATTTATGGTTTATACTTTCATTTTTTTTTAAATTAAATGTAAGCAAATATACATGTTCATGTCCCCCTTCCTTGCCTTATTTAAAAGTAAATACACTACATCTCTTGATTCTTCACCTTGTTCTTTTTTTCTACTTGTCATTTCACCCTAAAAAATCTGTCATGTGAAGGCAACTGTCCTTCCTTCACTGAGGGGCTCAACTCTACCTCATCAGTCCCCAGCCCCAAATGACAAACATCTAAGTCATTTCCAGTTTTGCTAATTCAGAATGTTGTAATGAACTGCCGTATAAAAACTCTTTATTTTTGACAGTGTATCTCTGGGATAATTTTTAGAAGTGGAATTGCTGGAGTACAGGGTGAGTCTCCCTCAGAGGAGTTATGAACCCCCAAAAGCAACTTATGTTGGTGCCACAGAGGTACAGTGTCCACCTCTGTGGACAAAAGGTCAGAAAATTTGTCTTGAAGTTCCAACAAGCATTATTGTTAGTATCAGGAAGACTGAACATCTTCCATACCTTCGTTAAGGACCATCTACATTAACTCTTTCTGTGAACTGTTTTTCTGTAAGTCATACCTATTCTTGATCCTGAACACCCAGCACAAGGCACATCTCTTGACACAAAAGCAATGTGTATCTGCAGAACGAACAGGACCCAACAGCAAACTTCGAGGGTGAACCACGTCCATCAGCCCAAGCAGGGAGTGTGACCGTCTGTGTGCACACCAACAACCACATACAATGTGGGCGTTGGCTGAGGGCTGTGTGAGGCTCAACGCTTGCTGAGAGCCGGCCCTCCTTCTACCCTGCTCCTCCCTCTGTGCCCAGTGGGTCCTGGGTGACAGGAATGGGGAGACCACAGTTGACCACAGGTAATGGGTTCAACTGAAGTGGGTGTGGGATGGTGCTAACCAAAGAAAAGCTAAAATCAACTGATTTGTTGAGCTGACTTATACCCCACGACAAAAAGCACACAAGCTGACCTGTTTATAAATCTTTAAAAATAATTACTCAAGGGTGTTTTTTGCCTGTCTGACACTGACCACCAATCACATGCCACAACAGTTCACAGTCTGTTGACAGCCAAGCACCAGGTCCACCCTCTTTATGGCTGCCCCATCATATGCTACCACCAGGACCACCGCAGTCAACACCGATGATCCTCAACTAGCTCTAGGAAACCATAATAGACTTTGAGTAACTTGTCTCCAAAAAGCTCTAAGGGCCTGGGGCAGAAAGCCAGGAAGGCAGATGGGAAGTGGCAGGGATAAAATGCGAAACAACAGTCTGGAGGGTCTTCAAAACCTTAAACAGAATTACTACGTGACCCAGCAATTCCACTGTTATGAATATACCCAAAGAAACTAAAAACATGTTCACACAAATTCATGCACACAAAGTTTATAACAACAATATTCACAATCACCAAAAGGTAGAAACAGCCTACATTCATCCCAGATGAATAAACAAAATATGGTCCACCCATATAATGGAATATTACCCAGCCATCAAAATGGATGAAGCACTGATTCATGCTACAAAGTAGACGAACCTCAAAAACATTAAACTGAGCAAAAGAAGTCAAATACACAAGGTCATATGACATATGATTCCATTGATATAAAATGACCAGAATAGGCAAATCCATCCAAAGACACAGAAAGTAAATTAGTGGTTGCCAGGGGCTGGGGGAGGAAGGTTGGGGAATGGCTAATGAGGATGGAGTTGTTTTTTGTTTTCTGAAGTGATGAAAGTGGTCTTAGAACCAGATAGAGGTGGTGCTTACACTACTCCTGAATATGCAAAAAAATTCACTGAACTGTATACTATAAATGGGTGAACTGTATGGTATGCAAATTATATTTCATTAAAAAAAAATTTTTTTTAAACACTGGTAGTTTGTTTTTGTGAGAACATTCTGGAAATGTTTTCCAGTCACCAGGATTACTTGACCATGCCCATATTTTCTTGCTATAAGAAGATAAGAGGTAAAATCTCACAAAACCGACCGCACTCTTGTCACACAATGCAGTCAGCCCAGTGGTCAAGTCGAGTAGCCAGTTCTCACCCATGCACCTATGACAGTTTAGGACATGCACTCCTTGGCAAGTCACCTGTCAGCTGGGCTGTAAGAGGAAGCAGCTGACTGACTCAGGAGGTCTCCAAATGGCCTCCAAGTCTGATGATGACTCTCGGTTCTGCATTCTTCTCCAGATAGGCAGCCCTCTGCCAAAACATCACTGGCTAGGCCCTACTGTCAACAGACAAAATCCCACCTGGATGACAGCAGGCTCTGCCTGTTGGGTCCCAAGAGCCCTTGATAGAGCCTGCACTTGAGAGCTCTAAGCAAGGGGGATGGGAGGGTGTGGCTCAGTTTCTCCCACAGACACAGAATGAGATAAGGGCAACCAGCTTCAAGCACCAGTGCAGGGCCCTGCACTGCTGACGATGGTTAAGGAAAAATTCTCCCTGTTCTGGTCAGCATTGGGAAATCACATAAATGGCCTTAGGGCAAAGGCCACCTGGCCAGGATTATCCTCTGCCCCTGATCCTCAGAGAGGACAGCTCATCCTATTTAGGCTGGGGCTTTTCAAGTGAGTGACCCCTGTGACACAAGGGGAGAGCAAAGGCCCTCCCTACAGGAAGTGGGCAGGGCCTACATGGCCCCATGGAAACAGTCCAGCACACAATCCTGGAGGGAGTTGCCTCTCTCCATCTCCCCTAGGAGGTGGCCATCAGTTTATGAAGCAGTGCTCAGTTTCAAATGTTCAAGGAGCTAAAAAGCCCACTGGGCAAGTCGGAGCCTTCATTACAGATACCAGATCCCAAGCACTCACCTGGCTTCTGGGCATGGGACGCTGGTTCTACCAGCTGGCCATGGTGGCAGCTACGTCAAAAGGCAACTTGCGTCCACGTGCTGACCAATCTAAAGTGAGGGTCAGAAAAAGAAACATGAGTTTCCAAGGAAAGTTTCTGGAACATTCCATCAGTTTTAAAGCCCTCCAACCCCAGGGATTACATAGTAAAATTTTAAATTTCAACCAGATCTCTATCTCTGGTACCTTCCACAGGGGGCAGCTGAGGAAATAAACATCTATCAGTCTTTGACCTATGACCCAATGTGGTGCTAACCAATAAACACTAGAATCACAGATATTATCTTCTGCGATACGGGCAGAGACATAAGGTGGTACACAGCCACACACCAATATGCCAAAAACACAGAAAATGGTTTTAGGCTTTGATTGTAACCATAATGACATTAATAGCATAAATAGTAATGCCCAGCACACTTAATAAATGCTTAGTAGTGATTTCCAGGTACTGTACTAAAAACTAAGTGTCTCTATGATTCCCCAGAACTACCCTAGGGCAGGTTACAGAATAATACTCATTTTACAGATAAGGGATCTGATGTGTCTGACACTCAGGAACTTGCCCAGGGTCACCCAGGTCTCCTTCTCCAGATGAGACCTCTTTGCTCCCCGGACTGTGTTCTCTGGCACAGACCCCAGGGAAACCACTCACTATTACAAGCAGTGCATGGTTTGCCCTTAGAAGTTGAGGGTGTATGTGCCTAGGGATGAGCACACTTCACTTCTCAAAAGGAGGCAGCTTCAGTTTCATGGGACAACTCACACTTTTACCTCAGGGATTATCTCCACAGGATTTACAAAGGCCAGGGAGGAAGGGGCTGCCCATTTTACAGACAGGAAAACTAAAGCTCGAGAATGTGGGAACTCTCCCAAGGTCAAAGAGGCTGTTGGCCCCAGAACTTCCCCTTTGTGATGTAAAAGGTGCAGGCCTCCAGGCACATAGGCTGAACCCACTGACCTAGCCAAATTCTGGACTCCCGGGCAGTGCTGTCAGTTGTATCATGGCCAATATTGTCAGTATTACCACTGTTGTCATACTTTGTGCCCACATGACAACCAGTAGCTTGCTCTGACATGAAACCTTTATTTTTAAACTAAGTTCACAGGGATTCACACACACCTCATGGGCAGCAAGAAAACACTCCCACAGGAGAACTTGCAAAATAAGCAAATATCAGTAAACTCTATTGGAAGAACTTTGGGCACCAAGGAGCACACAGCATCTTCTTCACTGAGGCCCGGGCCAGCTGCAGCCATCACCACCAGGACTAGCTCCTGGAGAGAGGGATCTTTTCTGCTGCTCTTTTTGGCCCCATTCAGGGAATGCAGTGAATACCATTAATCCTAGTTCTTTTATATCTCCCGAGCTGTAGCTTCTCCCTGCCATGGACAGAGAAGCCTCAGAAACAGGGGCCCTGGGGATTTTGAGCACCTGCTCTCTTCAGGATCAAGGTCAACACATAAAAGTCAATGGCATTTCTACATACTGACAACAAACAACCAGAACTCAAAGCTTTAAAAAAAAAAAAAAAAAAAAAAAAATACAATTAAAAACAACAAAAATGGAAAACTTAAGGAAACACACATTCCAAACAAGTCCCCTAGCCTTTTTGTATACTGCTACCCCCAAACACGTAGAAATTTAGCAGCCGCACCGAGGGCGGCCTCACGCCTTAAGGAC